GGAATTTAAATTGTTGCCCTCGGTATCCGATTTTGAATCCTCCCTGTCTCTCGCATCAGTATTAAAAAACCGAGAACATATTGCCTGGATCAGCTCATGCATGGTGTACCTTGCGCTGCCTTGGAGCAAATCACCTAGGCTGACTGACTGTTCAACAACTTGAAAGGATGTATAGACAATGGTGCAAACAGCATGATCCGTTAGCAAAACAGAAGTACGGTTCTGTTTTCTCTAGTCGACAACCTGGGATGACATTTGCAGTCGGATTTGTAAAGTCTTTAATTCCTGGTGTATTCTCATCGAATATCTCAAGTTTGAGGATTTTTAGTATAGAGGAAAGAATCACACGCGTTGCACTTGCAGCAGCTGAGACATCACTTTGTATCACATGATGGAAAGGGGAGAGATACNTCTTTAATTCCTGGTGTATTCTCATCGAATATCTCAAGTTTGAGGATTTTTAGTATGGAGGAAAGAATCACACGCGTTGCACTTGCAGCAGCTGAGACATCACTTTGTATCACATGATGGAAAGGGGAGAGATTCTNCCCCCCCCCCGGCGCAGGGGGCACCATATGTTAAGAGTTAAGAACACCCCACATACTAACGACACATTGCCTAACCACCACACCCCACTAGGGGCAGAGCTAGAAATTTACCATGAGGGGGGCAAATTTTAACAATAACAAGATAGAAATTGAAGTAATACTATACAAGAACTTACATATTGATTGGTAATACTTCCATTCAATACATTTATAATTATTCTCGACAAGTTTTCATATTTTGGAGGCATTCCAGATAATCCCAGTATGAATGGCATAAACATGCTTTTCTCAATATACTCAAATCAACAACAGTGAGAGAGAAAGAGGGGTGTGCAAAGGGAGAGATAACAAAGAGCTTTAAGATGATTTCTTGAAAACATAGAGAAATGATTCACCTAACTAAATATTAGTTCAGGATTATGGTTTATGAGAACTTTTTTGAGTGGGGCGAATCTCAAAGTATATCAAAACATGTATAAGATTTGTTTGCGAAAAACTAAAAGAATTGTGTATGGAAGTTAATATGTATGGTGTTTCAAAAATATAAAGTTCAAGTACCTACCATAGATAGGATGCAGGCTTAAACACTTTCAAAGGTTTTAATTTTAATTTGGAAGTTCTCATAATTATCTATATGAGATATGGAGAAGGCAAGAGCATTAGCAAGGAGTCTAATACTTTAATCAACTAGTAATTGGAAAATTTGAGATCTCACAGCGTATGCAATAGCATATCCATCAAAAGTGCTTGTTCCTCGGCCCAATTCATCAAGAAGAACCAGGGAATCCTGAGTTGCATTTTGCAGAACTGATGCTGTTTCTGTGCACTCGATAAAAAAGGTACCTACAGTAAATGGGGGTTCTTCACATTAAATTTGACAATTTGAGCAGCCAACTTTATTGTATGTTATGTGTGAGTTGCTTGGGGCTTCAACCAAAGCTAGTAAGATTTTCTTCAAACAGATATATACTTTAGGTAATAGAAGAATTCAGTCAGCTTATCATTGATTGATTGGCAAAGATGCCACTTTATGATAGTCTGGCAAATGGTTCCACTCTGCTGTGACAGTCTAGCTAATGCATGCAACTAAGTGCTACAGCAAGCCTACTATAGTTCAGGCAGGAGGATAAATGAGTGTAAGCAATACATTCCTCTACCTAAAGATATAAGCTGAGCTGTTAAGCCCATTTGTTATCTTTCTCCAGTGTGTAAGCATAACTGTTGTTGACCATTAATAGATNTCTTTGATGGGCCAATGGTTCGCCATTCCTGTTGAGGATCGATGATGAGTACCCCCTAGAGATTCTTTTTTAGGGTAAGTGTGTGCCCCTAGAGATTTCAATATTTGCAACATTGAGGATTCATAGTTTCTTCTTGGGGGTGGTAGTATTGAGAACTAGATTCAAGTGCAAGATGAATCACGACTAGAACTGCTACAACCTGTGTTAAGCATGTAGGATAGTCCAAACTCTTCCCTTTTGATTTGGGTTATTTTTGGCTTCCGCTTCTTTTTGGTGTTCTATTAGGTCTGCATCATTGTCGCAGACTGGTTAGGAATGCAGGAACTAGAAATTGTTTGGATGTCTTTGGGATCAATAAAATGACCATATTGGAGTAGATATGTTGACAATTGATCTTTAGGCATGCTGAAAATTGGATAAAATCTAACCATTTTTTACGAGAAAATAAACTGTATATTTTGAAGGGAATTGAAATTGCACACACACACACACACAGTATGTCATTTAACCCTCACAGGCCACAGTTTTTCTAGCCCAAACCGTACATCTCATGACATTGGCCAAAGCCCCCAGCACAAACAACAGCTATATATTCTACCAGCAAATGTAACATTGCCTTCTCTTCACCTTACTAGTGGTATATCTTCTTTCATCATCTCAATGAAGCAATGCACATATGTCAAGTGGACCCAATCTAGTATCGATACTGTGAAACCGAAAGGAAACAGAAGTAATCATCATCACAGATTTCTTTTCATATGGCTGAATTTACAATTTCATCTAATAAAACAGTTTTCATCCAAGTAATTAATGAACAGAGATACAGCAGCTGCTAGTTCATTTTCTACCAAGATGGCCCAAGAGATGCAATCACTTCAAACTGAATAATTCATACACTTCTATGTCAAAAGTTCATTCATTACCTGTCAGTTGCCCAACCTATATGAGGTTTTTAGCTCGTGCCACAAGCAAAACAATGTATCAAACACATCAGTATGGTCAAAATCAGACTCCCCAACCTGGCAGAGAGAAAGGAGGTTCTTCAACCACTCTTCATGGAGAGTTGAGAACTCTGACCTCTGTTCACTTGACCTAAAACTTTCTCCAATCATTTTTTTCATTACTTGCCCCGCCTCTGATGCAGCTTCAACCACTCTTTTTGGGATCCCAGCCATGAGTGCCACTTGCATTCCATAGCTTTCTGGGCATGCCCCAGAGGCAAGCCGATATAGGAAAACCAAATCAAGGTCACCCTCAGATGAATTCCCAGACTTCAACTTGAAAGTGCAGGCCATATGTTGCAATATAACACGAGGATGAGAAGCAAATTCCTTCGTGAGAGGGTGATAGTGCGTTGCAAACAGTAATCGGCAGTTGACCTTCTCAACAAGGTGACGGAATACCTGTGCAGATATTCAGCTGAGGGTTACGAAGGCAAACATATACTTTATATAGGCCAAATAAAATTGTAGAAAGGCACATTCCAGATTCTGTTTTGTAAACCAAATGAATTGCTAAACAGCTCAACCTACTATAGCCTAAAAGTTCTCCTATTAAGTTTTATGAAAATTTCCATTTTACTCCTTTGTGGTTTGGCCCAATAGCATTTCACCATTTATAGTTCAAATACGGTAATTATCTGAGCCATTAACACTGAAAAGGATAATCACCTTGACTCCCTCACTCACTCTCTCTCTTTCTCCCCTCCCTCCCTCTGCACTGTATGTTAAGACCACCTCCTCATATCAACAACAAATTACAAAATTGTGTTATGCAATAGGACAGAGACGGGCAGCCATGGTGGAGATGAGTAGTGGTTATGATAAATCGGCGGTGGTTCATGCAAATTTTGATTTGAATTGTTAACAGTGTTGTTCAAATTAATCTAAACGCATATTGGGGTTATGTGTTTGTTTTCATACCATAGGGAGGTAAGGTGTTATACTCCCATAACACAAGGGAGCAAAATGGATTTTACCGAACAGTTTATAAACAGCTCAACCTACTATAACCGACAAGTTCTCCAATTAAATTTTAGTTTAATCTCCATAACCCATAGTGGTTGGACCGATGACATTTCACCCTTTATTATTGAAACATACCTACATAACACTTATGTGATTTTAGACTAGTCTGAATCATTAACACTGTAGAGAATAATCTCTCTCCACCCCCCCCCCCCCCGGCGCAGGGGGCACCATATGTTAAGAGTTAAGAACACCCCACATACTAACGACACATTGCCTAACCACCACACCCCACTGGGGGCAGAGCTAGAAATTTACCATGAGGGGGGCAAATTTTAACAATAACAAGATAGAAATTGAAGTAATACTATACAAGAACTTACATATTGATTGGTAATACTTCCATTCAATACATTTATAATTATTCTCGACAAGTTTTCATATTTTGGAGGCATTCCAGATAATCCCAATATGAATGGCATAAACATGCTTTTCTCAATATACTCAAATCAACAACAGTGAGAGAGAAAGAGGGGTGTGCAAAGGGAGAGATAACAAAGAGCTTTAAGATGATTTTTTGAAAACATAGAGAAATGATTCACCTAACTAAATATTAGTTCAGGATTATGGTTTATGAGAACTTTTTTGAGTGGGGCGAATCTCAAAGTATATCAAAACATGTATAAGATTTGTTTGCGAAAAACTAAAAGAATTGTGTATGGAAGTTAATATGTATGGTGTTTCAAAAATATAAAGTTCAAGTACCTACCATAGATAGGATGCAGGCTTAAACACTTTCAAAGGTTTTAATTTTAATTTGGAAGTTCTCATAATTATCTATATGAGATATGGAGAAGGCAAGAGCATTAGCAAGGAGTCTAATACTTTAATCAACTAGTAATTGGAAAATTTGAGATCTCACAGCGTATGCAATAGCATATCCATCAAAAGTGCTTGTTCCTCGGCCCAATTCATCAAGAAGAACCAGGGAATCCTGAGTTGCATTTTGCAGAACTGATGCTGTTTCTGTGCACTCGATAAAAAAGGTACCTACAGTAAATGGGGGTTCTTCACATTAAATTTGACAATTTGAGCAGCCAACTTTATTGTATGTTATGTGTGAGTTGCTTGGGGCTTCAACCAAAGCTAGTAAGATTTTCTTCAAACAGATATATACTTTAGGTAATAGAAGAATTCAGTCAGCTTATCATTGATTGATTGGCAAAGATGCCACTTTATGATAGTCTGGCAAATGGTTCCACTCTGCTGTGACAGTCTAGCTAATGCATGCAACTAAGTGCTACAGCAAGCCTACTATAGTTCAGGCAGGAGGATAAATGAGTGTAAGCAATACATTCCTCTACCTAAAGATATAAGCTGAGCTGTTAAGCCCATTTGTTATCTTTCTCCAGTGTGTAAGCATAACTGTTGTTGACCATTGATAGATTACTGAAGTTTCGGACAACAATGATAATCTTATAACAGCCTAAAAAAAAAAAAAACAGCCCTAATTATCAAGCAATTCAGTTACTAAACTATCATTCAGATCTATTACCCAACTGNAATTATCTGAGCCATTAACACTGAAAAGGATAATCACCTTGACTCCCTCACTCACTCTCTCTCTTTCTCCCCTCCCTCCCTCTGCACTGTATGTTAAGACCACCTCCTCGTATCAACAACAAATTACAAAATTGTGTTATGCAATAGGACAGAGACGGGGCAGCCATGGTGGATATGAGTGGTGGTTATGATAAATCGGCAGNACTCTCTCTCTTTCTCCCCTCCCTCCCTCTGCACTGTATGTTAAGACCACCTCCTCATATCAACAACAAATTACAAAATTGTGTTATGCAATAGGACAGAGACGGGCAGCCATGGTGGAGATGAGTAGTGGTTATGATAAATCGGCGGNTGTGACTACCACTATGAACCTACATCAACTGCCACCACTATCGACATCAAGATCACTACACTGCTACAACAAATGTGATGTCCTAGTATCACTCTTATCTCACTGTCACCTTTCTGAACGGCACAAGAAATCTATTTGTTNTGTGACTACCACTATGAACCTACATCAACTGCCACCACTATCGACATCAAGATCACAACACTGCTACAACAAATGTGATGTCCTAGTATCACTCTTATCTCACTGTCACCTTTCTGAACGGCACAAGAAATCTATTTGGTCCCAGTACTCTAGTTTTTGAAAATCTAACGACAGTAAAAGCAAGATACAGATGAGAAGGATTGATACACACACTTCAATAAATCCAATGTGTCAGATCTTTCCCATGGTAAGCCAATTAAAAGAGTTGATTTGAAATCTAGTTTCTGATGGAGGGAACTTACTCTCGCCAGTCATGATTCGATCGGTTGAACCAAGCCGTGTGAAAATGATGTCCACAAGTGAGAGAACACACATTTCACAAGGCACATAACAGCCCAGCTGCAAGCCACAGGAATTTATTAATGGAAATGGAAAACAATTTTACACAAGAATACGTTCACTTCTATGACAGCTATAACATTGGTAATTATGAAAGCTTCAGATTCTATCCAGAAATCAAACCTGGGCCAATATAACAGCAAGGCAAGTGGCACGTAACAGGGTTGACTTTCCACCCATATTTGGTCCAGTCAACAGCAAAGCAAGGGGAGGATAGCCATCGGTCCCAGCTCCAAGACATAAGTCATTAGGAACAGGCAGTCCCCCATTCTCACCGAGGGCATACGGATGCCATAACCCTTTCATTTGAAGGATTGGTCCTTTGGTCTCTTCGCTCAAATTTGTCGAGCTTGAATGATGCAAAATGGTAGGTCTAGACATAGACCCACATGAAAAACTAGCAGTGACAGCAAAAGACCTTAGCACATCAATACAATCTATTACGTGGATGACTTGAGACCATTGATCAGCCTTCTCAATAAATAACTCAGTAAGAATTGACAGTGTTTCAGCATCTGATTCCGTCACATCTTGGTCCTGGAAACAAATGCATATGTCAGTACCATTTCGAAAGTATAAGATGCAGAAAAAAGTAGAGCTATAAAATACAACTCAACGTTACTCAACATAGCTTTTTCCTAACTGTTTGTGATCCGCTACATCAATCCTATTCCACCAGTGTGCTCTATTACAGATAGCTTCGTCCTAACTATTTGAGATAAGCTACATGAACCCATTGTCCCCTATCAGGAACAAAATTTTGTGTTGTAAAGCTATACAAGAAATACAATACTTAAATCCCTACAAACCTGAAATCACATACAACCTAGGAAAGAAAGCATGTCAGTAAGGAAAGATGTGAAATCAAATTTTTTGCTGAGAAAAATTAGTTGAAACAATCTTTCTTGAACTGCAAACCAACATCCAATTGAATCATAGTCCAATGTAAAATGCAGCATAAAACAATCCTTATTTTTTTTGACTTGCATCAACATTTTCTTCAGTTATGAATGCATAGAAAACCATGAAATTGAAGAATTCTTCAATCGAGAAATTCAGCAAATTTGCAGAGCAAGTTTTCATCAATTCACTAGCTTGCATGCTCTTGATCAGAAGCATTGCCAGTCTTCTACTACCGCCAAACTAAGAAGCATGGACACGGATACGACACGCCGACACGCCATTTCTCAAAAAAGTAAGACACGGACACGTTCTAAAAAAATTATATTTTATATATAACATTATATAATTTATTACAAATATAGTGATAATGCTATACAAATCATAAAAAAAATCTGTATTTTATGATAAGAAAACCTAATGTCTAGTCATCTACGTGAATTTTTAGACTAAAACATCCTCATTATAATCAATAACCATCAATTTTTTTTTTGTAGACAATGTGTACCTAATATGTAATTTTAATAATTGCTCTCATTTTCTCAATTCCTCTTTTTTTTTTAAATTTTTATGGATCTTTTATTTTTATTATTATATTTGGAGTACAACTTTAATATGTCTAGTATTAGTAATTATATGTTCTCAAATTTTTAAACTTTATTAATCACATTTCAACAATGTCTATTGTTTAATAATAGACACGTTCTAAGAAGTATTGGACACATCACCAAAAAAGTGACTAACACGTGTCTGAAATTAAAAATCTATCATTTAATTATAGACACGGATAAAAGAGTATCGAACACATGTCCGGGAGTGTCCGACATGGATACATCACGTTCTCGAGATTGTCCGTGCTTCATAGCCGCCAAATGTTAAATAATATGCTGTAACACAAATATTGAAGTACTAGTAATAGAATAGAAACCTAAAATCATCAAAATTAGTCAGACACAAGTTGTTAGATAACATGATTTGAAAAAGCCACCAAATGAAGAAAACACGGACCTGGTAATTGTGGAAGTCACTATCTATAGCTGCTTCGAATTGGGTAAGGACTTTATCAAGCCCATCCTTATCACTAAGCATGGGAAGGTTTACTACTTCTGATAATGATGAGATCATGTTTCCTTCCTTCTGCAATAGCATTAACAAATCCATGCCAATTCTTAGGCCTTTAACAAGAGACCCAAACACTTTCACCTGTCTCAACAACAAGATGTCAAAAACAACCCTATAAACCAAGAAACATATGTTTGTCTTTATTATTTTAACAATAGTCACAAACATGTGCAGGGCAAAATGATTCCAGGGACAACANACACTTTCACCTGTCTCAACAACAAGATGTCAAAAACAACCCTATAAACCAAGAAAACATATGTTTGTCTTTATTATTTTAACAATAGTCACAAACATGTGCAGGGCAAAATGATTCCAGGGACAACAAAGCTTACCATGTTTGACATCAGGGAACAACATAAAAAATGATATGATATTTTTTTGTGCCGAAGACAAGTGAAACATATGTTAAGATGGATGTGTGGTAAAACGAAAAAAGACAAAATTAGAAATGAGTATATTCGTAAATCTGTAAGTAGCACCAATAAGAAATAAATTAAGAGAGAATTAACTTAAGTGATTTAGACAAGTTCAAACAAGACCTCATAATGCACCGGTANGTATATTCGTAAATCTGTAAGTAGCACCAATAAGAAATAAATTAAGAGAGAATTAATTTAAGTGATTTAGACAAGCTCGTAGAAGACCTCATTAAAAAATAGTAATTTGATAGATATCAACGGTACTGCGAGAGATAGAGGTAGGCTTAAAATAATGTGAACAAAATAGTAAAAAAGAATATTATAGCGTATGGTCTAATAGAACATATAGCGCAATGGAGAAACTGGATTCATGTAGCCGACCCCAAAACAGTTGGGATTAAGGCTGAGTTGAATTGAGTCGAGTTGACAACTTGAGAAACGCAAGGGAGCAATGATTGACTATAGATGAGCATGTAAGTTGTAACTTAAAACTTGCTCACATTTAAGTTTTTTATAGCATTATTGAACAAACATGTGGTTTTAACTGTATGTTCCCAATACAATATGCCAACATTAGCCGTAAAGGTAACTTCTTTGCTCCAACCGCCTCAAAGGAAAAAGATTAGTTATATCTGAAAACAAAAATTAATCCTGACTACAGCCCAAACTATGATTTTCACTTAGCTAAGATCATATTTTAGATTCAGCAGCAACTGCAGACAAATTCTTGATTCCACAACATGGAGAAGTGACAAGATGTAAAAAACAAAAACATATGCTGAAATGAAAATCTCAAGCGCAAGAGAGAGACAGAAAGAGAGATAAGAACAAGAGGATTTTGCTAAATATGACCGCAGATTCTAAGATAGGAATTTCTTTCATGTCTTTCAACATATCTGCAAGAACGGAAGGCTCTGTAAGGAGTAGAAAAAACTTACTCGATGTTTCAATATTTTGATCCCAATCAAGGGTAGTAAGAGTGTAGCTGATGAGTGAATGCTATTCTTAACCCGTCCAAGCAACCTTTCTAAGTCTGGAAGCTTGCGGAGACACTGAGCAACAAGTAGCATAATTTCAGAGCATGCCATCAGTTTCTCAACCACATTAAGCCTATGGTTAATTTTTTCAACATCTTTCAGTGGATGGCAGATCCAGTTCTTCAAAAGCCTCTTACCAGAAGATGTTAAACAGTTATCAAGATATTTGTACAGAGTACCTGAAACGTAACACAAATCTTAGACCAATAACTAAGAAGGCAACTATGCATAATAATAAGGCATTGCTTCCATCGTTAAGTGAACTGTGCTTGGGCATAACAAGATTTAAACACTTGCCTGATGGGCCACCATCAGCATTATTACTGAAAATCTCAAGATTAACAAATGTCTGTCCATCCATTCTAAGGCAACCCTTGTAGACTTCGTATTGTAGAATATCTCCATTGTGTAAGGCATCATCTAGCTGCTCAAATCAGAGGGTATAAATCACAACAATTATAATAATGCTCTCAACATTGAATAGGTTGAACTAAAAGGCTCAGTGGCTCACCATCAAACGGGATAAATGATTAATAAGCCCACCAAGAGCACCTAATACAAGATCATGATGAACAACTCCATCAAGTGTGTGATCCCACGAAGTACAAGACCCTCTGAAGTAACCGTTGAACTGAATGAGATTTCTAATTTCTGAAGCATCACCAAAATCAGTGGCACCCTGCACTGCAGTCAATTGTGCTGCAGTTGAACACACAAAGGAAGACAAAGCTTACACGAGCAGTCTTACTTTAAAAATCAGTGAAGACATCCAGGTCCATAGTATCAAACTTATTTCAGGTGCAGCATTTTTTCTGTGCAAGGCTTCAGCAGCCAGCATTCAAAGATCTACAATCCTGATAGGAAATTTTTACCAGCAAAACACCTATTGAAGAGGGGACATGCATCACCATGGATTCCTAAACTACTACGAAGTTTCTCGCATGTATCACCATGAATCCTATTGCATGAGAACTTCCCAGAGAATAAAAACCCCCAGAAGATACAACCTGCATGTTCTAAGGCACTTGAGCATACCAACTACACCAAGGAAAGCTATTCTATCATTGGAAAAAGTGTTCAATTAAGTTGCTGCCCCTTCCATGACTGGGCAAGTGGCCAAAAAGTGGGTGGGTGCAAAGATGAACATAACTTGCAATCATGCAAGAGTAGGCAACATCATAGCATCATAAGTCCATTAAATAGGCTGCCTAAGTTGATCGTATTGATCTGGTATTGCCTGTGATGTTAAAAGTCATTAAGCTGTCAAGATCATATTCCACTGCATTTCTGTACCTTCACCATTCATGATTCTTGAATTTTATTTGCTAAATGTCCCCTTGCTGCAGTAGTTCATTATAAAGACCAAAATTGAACCTAAAATGGTAATTTTTAAACCTTAGAGATTCTACAAACAGTCAGAATACGTCAGAATATTCCTCTTATTGAAGAATTAATCGTTTCACACCGAAGGGTGTCTAATCTATGGCATCTCACACTATTTCTCCATTTGCGGAGAATACAATCCACACAAGACTTATGGGAAGCAAATCAACTGGAGAATACAATCCAATTGTTCAGAGACAATGAAAAGAAAACCTCACATGTATAATGCCACAACTCATAAAGTCCGAAGTACGATTTTCAGGAGCCTTTATTGCTAATCATTTTTTCATTATCTTTGAAAATTAAGTTTTCTGTAGTAAGTGAATGTCATAGTTTACCATCATTAGCAAGGCCATTAATATGCTCAAGTTAAAATGAAAAAAGGAAAAAGATGAATTGCACATGTGCATACACTGAGATCAACACAAGTTTTGAACAACTGGCTTAGCTGGAAACTCATTCCAGAACACATAAGAAAGAAACAATTTCTTGGCATAAAACTTTACTACTGACAAACAAGCCGAGAGATCAATGAAACTAAGACTAGGGACTGTCTGATAGATACTAGATAGGTGTGGGCAGAAAGGATGGTATGATCGTTACCTGTTAATGAGTATTTTTTCAGTGCTTTCTGAGCTTCTTTGGACAGCCCTGCAATATATATTAAGTTATAAACCATGAACCAAATTTTTTTTCTTGAATACCATTGCATGCAGAAAACACCAAGACCAAACAATCTGAATTCAAAAATATAAATGAGAAAATTACCGCGACTTTCATATATGACTTCCTTAGGTGACACCTAATGTCACATCCAACAACACAATAAGAAGTTATTTTGACACATGGAATCAGCAATTTACGGAATTATTCAAATAAGAAGTATGATAAAAACCATACTTGCATCAATAAAGCCCCCAAAGCTGCACTAGAAGAATCATCACTAATGGAACCAACCCAAAATTTTAAAGCAGCACAATCGACAAAAGCAAACCCAAATGCAGTCGAACCATTCTCCAGCCGATGGTTACCCTAGACGAAAAAGTCAAATCAACAGAACAAAAATCATGATTTAAATCAACAGAAATGAGCTCAAAAATGCCAGATCCACACAAATAATAAAAACCTTATTAGCAATTGACTAGGAATTTAGATGCATAGAATAAGCAGAAAGCAGTATTAGTCAACAACAAAACTGTACAGACCTCTTTTATAGAAAGTAGATGAACAGCATCAGGCCCAATGTTACCCTCGATAGTGGTTGATGCTGTAAGAACATGAACTAATCTTCTTTGAATTACCTGAAACACAACATCATACCAACATTCAGCTAACTACCTAGCCTGTAAAGAGTAGCATCTAGAAGCAGAAGATTCAAAGAAACACCACAATATAATATGAGAATCTGATTTTAAAATCCAAACAGCAACAAAAATAGAAGCAATGAGGGACGCTACATAAGGGGCTGACCTAAGAATTCATAATTTCTTATAATAACTGGGTGTTACTTTGTCCCCCCAGTGATTGCCAATAAAAATAACCCAATGAAAATATAAGAAGAGGATGAAATAGAACAACTATAACAGATGATATAAGAAGATCAAAAAATTGATTCTCCATCTATTCTCTTTTCGCTTGCGTAAATGGCCACATTTACTGTTGGTGATTGCAATTTGTATGTCCCAGTACCACACACTATAACAAAAGCATCACTTCATTTGTAACAGATGGCCAAATATAAATTGATTTTTACTTGTCTAACACAACTGAGAACAACACCTATATCAACATTAAAAGAACTTGACAATCATAGAGACCCATGGAAAACTTACAGAAGTAGCACCTCTGGATTTTGCTTGTTGTGATGTCTCCAACTGCTCCATCCTTCCAACTTTATACCTTGAGAGAAACACTCATTAGTAACAAAAAATGGATATTGAAGATTAATACATAATCTAAGTCTTCCCAAGTATTATGAATGGGCTAAAAGATCCCAAATTCACTTTCAGCTCTAGATGCGTCCAAACCATGGTTACCACAATTCACTAAACTTTTAACGACCCACGATCTAGGTACATCGATCCAAAACATGGTGGGTTCGCGATCTAGATCACCAAAATTGACGACCTCAAATTGCAATACTAACCCTAAATCAATTCGCTTCAAAACACGCAACATTATTTAAAATAAATATAAATTGACTACATGTATATAGATTTATAATTATATATTGTTTTAGATAATAGAAAATCAAGCACAATTATAAGATAAATGGTAACTAACTTAGTGTTTATGAATGTTTTGTAATATATAATGTTGTATAGCAGTAAAAACAATCTACGTAAGAATATCAAAACGAATTGCGACCCAAAATACCGTACCAGCTAAACCTACCCTCATCGTACTACGTACTTAAGAAAGTATCGTACCATGTACCCGTACCTGCATCACGTACCAAAACGACCCACGATCCAGGTAACATTGGTCCAAATACAAAAAGAAAGGGTAAAAGCTATACGAGATTACAAATACATAATCTCTTTTTGCATCAGAAAGTGGACAGTTGCCAACTACTTTACATGGAAAGATCTGTAGTTTGCAAGGCAAAAAAATTTCCAGACATAAATTCATAAACAGATATCAAGCTAATCTGGAATTCAGATGACTTCCTGAAACAGATTTCAAACATTTCTCCTTACCCACGGGCAATCAACTTTTGAACAGCATCATCAATTCCACTCTCAGAGATGCCAACCTAGCCAAAAGGCAAAAACAGATTTGAATGGATAAAAGTGCCTTAATATGAGAAAAAAAAAGACTTATAATAAGCTGATAATAATTATAGATTCTAGAGCAAGCATTAGAGTCATCAAAGTAGAAATTACCTGTCTACATTTTCCCACACCGCTCAATGTCATTTTCCAATCAAGTTCCTTGTGGCCAATTTCAGCATCTAGTTCATAGAGCTCATAGAATTTTCCCTTTTATACACCAAGGGTTACAGTTTTAGGCAAACATAATGTCAAACATACCTTTGTTGAAGTCAGAACAGAAACTAATGAAACACGGAGAGATGAAACTGATGCATGGCAAAGGTACAATCGTTAATCTAGTAAACGACATTTTGTTTCATAAAATAGGATGTTCCATGTAATTTAACCTTATGCTCTAAATGCTAGATCATCCTCTCTTCAATTGAAATATTTAAATTGTTCAGTTCAGTGAAATGAACTGGTACATGGTATCTTGCACATATCTAGATCATGGTCATACTACCCCTTTCCAAAGGGAGTTTATCAGCAGCTCTCATTACCCATAAGTCCTTCTACTATAGAAATGTGAACATTAATTAGTGACACAAAATACATATCAATTGGTCCTACCCTATCACAGAGGAAATTACTATATCCATAAGGAAAAGAACAACTGATAGAGAAAACCATTTGATAGCTACATGAGCAATTCATTTCACCTCCACCATTATTGGTAGTAACAGAAAACAGCAATTTAGGGAAGAGGGATGACAAAAATCACGAATGAAATGGCAAGTTTATAACTGACCACTTTAAAGAAGAGCACAATGTCCATATATTGGCACTTGGCATTCCAATACTGCTTTTGAGATGCTGACATTTTTCCCAAAGCATCTGGAGGTATATAAAGCGTCCTCTTGTCATACAGAGGGTCCCCCGGCCTTCTTCTATTAGCATCCCTGATCCTCGAAGGATCGAGCCAGTCAAATTTAGTATTCATTTCAGATACCTCTCCATGCTTCTTACTTTCTGCCTTTGTCTCCTCAAAAAGTTTTGGCCTTTTGCTGGCATCCACCAATGAAAAATTTGTTTTACCCTGAAAGTTACAACTGTCTTCTAGAACGCGCTTCAATCGTGGAACCAGAGGTCGCATACCCGGTGTTTCTGGCCCAAGAATATCATCATCACTTTCTATAAGCATGGGACACATTTTATCCCCTTGATTAACTATCCCAGTAGAACACAGAACATTATCCTTTCTGAGATGTTCAAAAGCTACAGTTGCACTAGGCAACCCTTCCAAATAATTAAAATTATTAGATATAACACTAATTTGACCACCATTCGCTTGGTTCCTGCAAATTTTCATACAGATTCTGTCAAAACCAAAAAACATACAAGTCTACTAAAGTGAAACAACAATACAAAAAATAACTAAGATCAAAGTATTTGTCAATGCTAGCAGGGGCACAAGCAAAAACCACTAGAGATAAGTTTATCATTTTCGTTTACTGCATTGGCAATAATGTCACAATACTATGGTTAGCAGGAGATGAAGGGGGGTTCCACACATGGGGTGTCTGGGGAAATTAGATATCAAATTACTATTTAACTCATCATCTTCGTAAAAAATGGGTTCTATGAATAATATCACCCTATATGGAGAGTACATGCAAAGCAAATCAAAATTAAAGAGCCGTATACTATATCTGAGCGCTACATCATAAAAACTGGGCATAAATATGAGTTTCATTGAAATTTTTAAAACCCTCCACGGGTTCCCTTGAATATTAATTTACATGAAATATATTTGTAATTTGTGCTTATATTGCAGTAAACTGTAGCTCTAAGTCATCATTATAAAACATTATTCAGCAGTAAATCGATTTTCATCTTACAGCACTAAGATTAACTGTATGGTAAATGCATACCATTCACACCACTTTAAAATTTAGTGTACAAAAAAAAAATCAATTAATTTAAGGTATTATCAACAAACAATATTAGATTTTCTATAAAATAAAATAGCAAAAAATGCCCTAAAAATTCAAATACTGCACCTATCACAGGATTTCTCTCCATTATCAACCTTCGAGAACTTATGCTTAATGCTCGAAAAGAGAGAGGGTCTGCTGATGTCATCTGCATGTGCCGCCAAGTTTGACGGAAACCTCTGACGTGGCACCTTTTCCGGCGGAGTGTCTGTTCCTCTGATTTCTTCTGTGGATGCGTCAATTGTGGATGGTACGGTAGGTCGATTAGCTACTCCGACTTTCTGGTTTCGTTGTTTTGGAGGAAGATGAGGGGCTTGCCGACCGTTGAGTTTGTCTCCGCCGGATTTCTGGTTTTCCGGCGACGGTTTTTGGAGGAAGGACAGTATCGATTTCTGACGCTGCATTGTTTGTGTGCATGTGTGTGTGAGAGAGAGAGAGAGAGTAAAGTTTAAGTACAACGTCCAGAGGGGGAGAAGATTAAGAATTGGCGCCAAATTTTAGCCCTTGCGAGGGACGAAATTTCGCTGTCGAGTTTCGTGTCGGCATTCGGCAATATCACACTGACTGTTCGTTTTGAACATTCGGGAAAATTTCAGCCAAGGATCAAAATTAAACAAATGAATTAGTGATTAAATCGACTAGTGTTTTAAATTATTATTAGGTGTTTTAAAATGTTTAGACATGTTTTAATCAATATTTTATAATATAAACAATTTCAGGAAACTTTTTTATGTTTTGTTTTTGAAATATTTTTAAAACATATTCAAAATACTTTTATTTTTAAGGCGATCTAAACAATGTCCCAAACAAAATTTTACCCCTTGGTTCTGGGTAGTCTCTATTTTTTGGGGCACCCCGAATGTTATCTTAAATTACACTCACATCCTGTATCAATATTTGTTAGGAGAAAATGGACTTTCCACATTATTACTCTTGTATCACCACTAAATCAGTCAAGAAAATCACCCCAAATCCAATCCGATATGAATAAATGCCATTAAACTAAATTTTAGCAAAGTGATATCTAAATGTCAACTTAATTTCCTCAAGTAATCACTCAATTTCATTGTATATATATAATTATATACATAGATATATAATTCGCATTGAATCACAAAAATAATGTCTGAATATAAATCTCTGAAATGCTAAACAATGTATTTGAATACCGACTAATCGGATTCAAATCAAATGCATAGGCCAAACCACCAACCTCCACTTTTTAATATATGTCAACGTAGTTTTTGACCTCACAATATAGGTATATTTCTCCTTGAAATGTTTGGTTCTAAGCATACAGCCTCTTACAATTGTTTCAAAACAAAAGTATTTTTCATAGCCAAACCACATCCTCTTCCATCGCCCAACAAGTGTCCCCCACCCCCACTAATTTCACCTTAACATCTGAACCCTTGATTTAATTTTTTTTTTTGGGGAGGGGAGGGGAGACTTGAACATTTGACCTCAAAAATACAAAACTTTTACAAGGTAAGGAATATCATTGAACCAAAGACCCGTTGGTTTTGATTTAACTCACAGCCAAGAAGAATTGTATATGGGAGTGACAACAGCTTTAACTTGAAGATACTGGTCAATGGCTTCAAGTCCTAAATCTCTCCCAAACCCACTCATTTTGTACCCTCCATAAGGGCAATCCTGATCAGAGGCAATGTAGCAATTGATCCAAATGACTCCAGCTCGAATTGATCTTGAAACTGTGTTGGCCACATTCAAATCATTGGTCACAATGCCTGCTGCTAGACCATACCTTGTGGCATTGGCTCTCTTAATAGCCTCATCAACACTCGTGCAATTGTTTATGCAAGAGAGACATATAGATGAATTATTTTAAAAAATGCAACGGATCTATACTATATAGTAAAAAAATCTCTCCGGGGAGGGACATATCTAGTATACAGTACCTATATTGAAGTGGAAAGACAAATTGAACTTACTTGAACTTCATAAGTGATATAACAGGCCCAAATTTTCATCCTTGGCAATAGTCATATCATCCTGAGCAAGCCAGTAGGAGCAATGAAACAAGAAATGCACAAGTTAAACAAAATTTGCTGGTAGCATAAAAGACATAAGATTTGGAAATAGAAAGACGGTTAATGCTCCGTGTGCTTTTTTGGGCATGTTTTGACCATTATTGTAAGCTATCTTAATTAAAAAAATGAAAGTTTACCTTCAAATCACCAAAAATTGTTGGCTCGATATAGTATCCCTTATCGCCCATGGCCTTTCCACCACTTAACAATATAGCGCCGCCTCTCTTGCCATGATCAATGTATGACAGTATTTTATCGTACTGTTTCTTGTCGACCTATTCATCATCAAGTAGTGCATTATAAGAGGTAGAACATACTTACGTTAATATTCATAAAGCAATATCAATAATATGTAGTTCAATAAACTTGTTTTGTCTTTGAGAGGACAGAGAGATAATTAACCCTAAACATTTTCTTGATTCACTGTCAACAACCTGCTTTTTTTTCAACAAATTAAATGATCAGAGCAGAATTTTTACTTGGGGTCCTTGACTAGCAGAAGGATCAAAAGGGTCCCCAACAACCCAATTTTTTGTTTTCTCTGCCAATTTCTTTGCAAAATCATCGTAAATCCCTTCCTGAACAAATATACGAGAACTCGCCACACAAATTTCTCCCTGCAAACACAGGCAAAAGGTCTCGAATTATTTTTTTGTGTCGAAACGAGTACCTATAGAACAATTCGACAATTATCAATTTAAAAAAAAATAAAATTATTTACAAAAGCAATGTGAATAGTTGGGTTAATGGGTTCCATTGACTTTCACTAACTATCTACTATTACCCGTATGCCACATCATTTGGTATCCAAGTTTTGGAAAAAATTATGATAAACACAGTATTATGCATATTTAACATATGAATTATATATTGTATCAAGTAATTTTTCATAACCATACCAAAGGATTACAGCCAAAGCAGCTAAGTTATGACTCAAACCGACAAAGTTACAACTCAAATCACTCCAAACTTTGTGGGATTAATCCCAAAAGTTTTGAACCTCTTTGAATCATAATTTTGACATGTTTGACTCATAATTTGACTATCATCGGTGGTAATTTTTTGAAAAAAAAAAAACAATTCAATTCATACGAAACTCAATATCCTAAATTTTCGCAATATAAACATAAAAGAATTTCAGTTTGCCTTGTTCCATAGACTGCCTTTGAGAACCAGATTGGCGGCTGTTTCAATGTCTGCATCATCGAAGACTATGAGGGGGTTCTTGCCTCCAAGTTCAAGTGAGACAGGTTTCAAATTGCTTTTGGCTGCAGCCTGCATCACTAGACGTCCTACCTCCGTGGACCCTGTAAAACTAACCTAGAAAAGACCGCAAAGGGTTAATTAAGTAGCAATTCGATAATATTCACTGCAATGAGATTCATTTCAATACATTTTTTTTTTTGGTGAATTATCTACCAGAAATTCAAGTAAGACTCATTAATAGTAGATGTTTTGTCTAAGAAAAAAAATTCAGAAAAAAAACGTATTGAAAATGATTACCTATGAGTGTAGGTGCTCTGCTTGTATCAAGTATAGGGGAACAATGTAATGCAAACATCGGTTACGGGATTTCACATCTTCAACAATTTTGAATAAATTTTTTTAAAAAAAATTCTGGTGGTAACGTCAAAATTACTTTGTCGATGTCCATATGAGAGCTAATGGCTGCACCAGCTGTTGGTCCATAGCCCGTTATAACATTGATCACTCCATCAGGGACACCAGCCTGAATCGAAAAATACAAAAGAGAAGGAATCAGTTTGCCCGCTTTCCATAGTTCTGGGCCGAGAGTTGGTCCCATTTGATACATAAGGGAGAAGAATTCAAAACAACATGGGATTTGCAAGCTTACAAGCTTATCCAAATGGGCATAGTATAGAGCTGAGAGGGGTGTTTGCTCAGCAGGCTTCACAACCATCGTGCAGCCAGCAGCCAACGCCGGGCTAAAAAGTATCCCGGTCGGATAGTTCCACGGGATGATAAGTCCGACCACGCCGATGGGCTGGACGCAACGTGTACCCTTGAAGGTTACTTGACATTTTCAGTGTCTTCCCATGAATTTTATCAGCTGCACCGGCGTAGTAACGGAGAGTCTTTGGTGCAAGGGGAATATCAATTGCCTTGCCCATGCCGAACAACTTTCCTGCATCTAAGGCAGCTAATTCTTCTACGTTTTGTTCAATCAACTCTGCAAATCTCAGCATTATCCTTCCTCTCTCCTGATGACCAAGTACAGTCCAGGGAAAAAAATGGGGGCATATTAGGTAATTCATTGTGTAGAGGGTAACACCACTACATGTCACAAGTAAAATTAAACGAAAAGAAAGGGATCGTAGCTAGAATTTGTTTGCAGTGGGGCCATAATAAATTCAACCTAATGCTTAACGGATTTATTCCAATATTGATTTTCTTTCAAAAAAATTTGTTCATAAATGATTGGGAGAATTTCATTGTGCACCCTTAAAGATTTTAAAAAGTTCATTTTACACTCCAAAAATTAGATTTTTCATATTGTCCATCAATGTATTAAAAGTATTCTAATATAGCATTTTTGTTAGTTTCGATTATTTATTTCGTCAACGTCAATAGGGTGATTTTTGACGGAATAAACAATTAAAAGTAAATGTAAAGACTACATTGCAATACTTTCAATATATTAAGTACTAATGGGCTTTGGTTCAATGGTACTTCTGACCTTGTTGAGATCAAGGGTTCAAGCCCCCTCTCCCTCCCTTTAAAATATATATATATATATACTATTTTAAAATATCAACAAAAGTGAAAATTTTTGTTTGACTATTTTACCTTTGATCTTTGTTATAAAGTCAATTATATCCTCTCATTTCTTTTTTTTTTTTTGCAATTAATTACATAATCTTCTCATATTCTTTCATCTTCTTAAATTAATTATGTGCATAAATTTAACATTTTATTATATTCATTTGAGTTTTAACAATTAATTTTAACCTTTAATTTTCATTTTTCTTGATCAATCTTATCTTATCTATACTACTAATATATTTCATAATTTATATCTATATCTATATTTATACTCCTATTAAAAGTCCCTTAACCCAATTTTTTTTTTTAATTTTTTTTAATCCTCCATCTATATTATAACCACCATAAAACCAATTTGTGTNTATATCTATATCTATATTTATACTCCTATTAAAAGTCCCTTAACCCAATTTTTTTTAATCCTCCATCTATATTATAACCACCATAAAACCAATTTGTATCTATATCTATATACTTATATCTTACGTTGTTTAGACGCTTTCAATTCTACTAAATTTATCTTCCATCTTAATTATTGTAACTTAATGGCAATAAATATTGATTAATTATTTTGAGTTTTTCATATACTTATTCTTTCACAACCACAGTGTTATGTAGTGAATACACGGTGAATCAATTCAAACCATCATTATTCCACACCTCAATTGAATTGTTTCTCCCCGTCTATCTCCCTTTCTTTCTATACCTCTCANCATCTTAATTATTGTAACTTAATGGCAATAAATATTGATTAATTATTTTGAGTTTTTCATATACTTATTCTTTCACAACCACAGTGTTATGTAGTGAATACACGGTGAATCAATTCAAGCCATCATTATTCCACACCTCAATTGAACTGTTTCTCCCCGTCTATCTCCCTTTCTTTCTATACCTCTCACTCTCATTTTCACGATTTGTCTACATTGCTAAGCAAGGGAAAAAATCTAGAAATTTTTACCTACGGCAGTGAATCACTATCACTTTACGAAGCAATGAGCCATTTTTAATAGTCTGCAACAAATGAGATTGAACCAAAAATAAGCAAACGCCAGACTCATCTGGGCTACAATGCTTCTTGTTGGTGTGTGTCATTCGATGTATGCTGTTTATTTTCNAAAAATCTAGAAATTTTTACCTACGGCAGTGAATCACTATCACTTTACGAAGCAATGAGCCATTTTTAATAGTCTGCAACAAATGAGATTGAACCAAAAATAATCAAACACCAGACTCATCTGGGCTACAATGCTTCTTGTTGGTGTGTGTCATTCGATGTATGCTGTTTATTTTCTTTTTAAAATGTTCTTTAGTTGTTTTTTGTCTTTCCAAGTGGCTTTCTTGTGTTGGGGTTTGATTCTGACGAGACTTTGTTGTGGTTATTTATCTTTGACTAGGGTTTTGAATAGTGCTTAATTTTTGTTTTAATAATTTGGGTCTCTCAACTAGAATAATAACAATAATATGGGTCCAAGCAGACAACTTTTCTTTAACTGGTTTGTCTCTTTTATTGTTTTAGTTGTTGATCTTTTTGACAAATTCTTATTGAGCTTGGTATTTGATTTAACGATTTTTTTGAGATTGTGGAATTAAGATTTGATTGAAATGATAGTTTTTCGATGTGTTTTTGATTTTGGGAATTATTGTTGACCTTAAANAACTTTTCTTTAACTGGTTTGTCTCTTTTATTGTTTTAGTTGTTGATCTTTTTGACAAATTATTATTGAGCTTGGTATTTGATTTAACGATTTTTTTGAGATTGTGGAATTAAGATTTGATTGAAATTATAGTTTTTCGATGTGTTTTTGATTTTGTGAATTATTGTTGACCTTATACGTAATTAATACTTCTATTAGTACACCATAGAGGGAAAAAATTCGTAATTTCCCTTTCAATTCTAAAAATTAGATTCACATTAAGGAAATCATGGTAGAGATGACATTAAGACCCAAGTTTCAAACCTTATAGCCAAGTTGAATTAATAGCATCAACGAGCTTTTTCATCTCGACGGTACGGATTTTACTATTCCTGGTGCTATTCTACCAAAATTTTCATTACTTGCGCAACGCAATATCAAATTTAATGAAGATTGAGGTAGGATGAGAGCTTATCTAAACTCGAAAAGATCAACCAAAATAAGATTTAGTAAAGCTATGTTAATTCATATCAACCATGTTTGTTTTTTTGAAGTGAATAGAAAAGATTCGTGTTCAATATAATTCAGCTATCACATAATAATTTCTTAATAAGCAATTTCTACAAGCTATGTGAGCAAAAGTCCCACAAGGTAAAAGTGGTACAAGACTGATGTGATAGAGGTGGTTGGCAAATGACAGAATTTCACCTTCACATGATGGTTCCCTTGTCATGAATGGTAGCACTGGGAAAAATCTCAAGGTTGGATAATTTGGCCATGGTTGAATGGAACATTGGTCTTTCAAGTGTAAAAGAGTGAAGAAAGTGATTGACGACATCTTTTGCATTATTGCACATTGCTAGAATTGTGGCTTTCATTATTGATTTTTTTTATAGTGCAGTTGTGTTTTTTACAGTCAATGTTTTCATTCGACCTCATGACAGAGTTTATCTCCGTCAACTTTGTTTGTTTTGTTTGTAGACAGTTGTACATATCCTTTTTTTTTTTTGTTCTCTACCTTTTCTTTTATATTTCTTGTTATTATACTATACTTGTTGGACTCCTATTTGGATTGTGCCCCCCATTAGAGCTTCCATCCCACTGACTACATGAGCAGATATGATCTTTTTTCTTATTACATTTTTTAATTTGAAGATTTGGACATATGAGGATTTCACGAGATCTTTCTGTTGTTTTTAGAAAGGGTGGCATTTTTCTCAATGACTATTTGGTGATTCAAATATTACAATTTAAGACGTTTGAGCATTGCATGTGGTGAATTTTGTTTCTTTATCAAAGTAAAATTAAATTTGTAGCTGAATTTTTTATGGGTTGTATGTTTTTTCGTGGCAAGTAAAGTTGAGGGAGTTTTAAGGCTGCTTAATAGAAATTGATTCTTACGGTGTAATAGGATGGGTGAAGAGCAGACTCTTTCGGTCATGTAATTGTTTTAATCCTATGGCTCTTTTGGATTTGAAATGCGTATTTTCATATGAATATTGCTTGAACTTTTACTTGGCTAGCAATGTTTTGGCATTAAACCTTGTCACAAGAAATGATAGCAATTGAGCAAAATATTGGGAAGTATATAAATACGAAGTTAGCAAAATATTGGAAAGTATATGAATACAAAGTTATAGGACAATAGTTCCAATATTATTTGTAATTTTCTTAAATTACCTCAACGTATGCTTTTAGACAATTAGATTGACATATGCTGCTAAATTTCTTGAATCTCTTTTGGCTTGAGACATGATTGTCTCACAAACGTATTAACATCTTTACCTTTCTTGCATAATAGCTATTAAGAATAGCTGATGATGCAATTGATTTGGAGCAACTAGAAGAAGACACATATAACATTGTCCTTCAAACAAACGGGCACTCTATGAGATCTTTGAGTAACAAGTAAAGAGCAGGGGGATGGTCTACATAGAATAAAGGCATGGTTACTTGCCTACTCTAAGTATATATAGAATATTTATTTTAATGTTCTATTTAATGAATGATATGGCGAGCTTTATTTATGTTTCTAGATCCTTTATTGTTTTTCTTTTCTAAAAGATTTTTTCATCCATTATGTTGTGATGATACACAAAACTGTCTCGTGCAAGATCAATAATCGAGTATGTGATGAAATATAATAAATAAGACAATAAATAAAATAATTAATGACAAAACAGTAAATATCAGGTCAATACACAGATATATAGTGGTTCGGTTTGGGTGACCTACTCCATTCTCGAGAAACGGCGACAGTGGCGGGGGTTTTTATTGATGATTAAAATAATAGAGAGAAAGCTCCAGGAGATGTATGCTCCGGCAGAGGTATAACAGTTAGTTAAGAGAAGCTATGTGTGTAGGGAGGTGTAGNTTACTTGGCTAGCAATGTTTTGGCATTAAACCTTGTCACAAGAAATGATAGCAATTGAGCAAAATATTGGGAAGTATATAAATACGAAGTTAGCAAAATATTGGAAAGTATATGAATACAAAGTTA